GAACCCCACAAGAATTTGAACACCATTCTAAGAATACTCGTGATCGCCGTTCCTGTTAACGGCAACACTGCCGAAACAAATCAGACTTTACTATATAGTAAAACATTGATGACAATTGCTCGTTGCCTAAGGGTTAAATGGTGAGGTCACAGCATTCCGAAACGTCGCTGCACCTGTTCCACCATTCTATTCAAATTATTGACCCTTGCAGCACTCAGGTCAGCCTCATATATGACACCACAAATTTTTAGACTCCCAGTCTGACGCTGCACGACATCACATCCCCATTCTAATCTCCCTGCCCATTCTCCCAGCCCCATTATCACTGACTTCTCCAGATTTACCTTCATCCCAGTAGCTCTCCCAAACATGTGTACAACTTCCCCTAAAACCGTGTCTCCTCACACACCAGAATAGTTGTATCGTCAACATATCCCATCAAGCCAGGTCAAATCTTCTACACACCATCCTCCCCCCCAGTCCTTAGACGATCCTCCACCATCCTATAAAAACGATCCTGAACACATGCAAACAATAGTTGTGATATTGGACATCCCTGCCGAAGACCCCGCACCATGTTGACTCCTTCCCCCACACACCCATTGATTTGCACCCTTACCTTCACTCCTGAGTACAATGTTTCCACCCACCCAACTATTTCTTCGCCAAACCCCTGTCTGAGAAGAATATCCTTCAAAGCCCCTCTTTCCACCCTATCATAAGCCCCTGGCCAATCCAATGCCAACAACGCCCCTCTTCCCCTTTCATGTCCTCCAGGAACCCCTTTATGATCCCGTGGCCCTCGACCATTGACCTACCTGGCAACCCAAACTGAGACTCAAACACCACCCTCCCCACAACACATTTAAGCCTATTCCCAAGAATTTTCGCGAGCAGTTTATAATCAGCACAAATCAACGAAATGGCTCCGTAATCCCGAAGGGTACTCTGCTTTTTACCCTTCGGGACCAACATCACCACCGCAGTTGCCTTCGATTCTCCCATCTTACCTCCGTGTTTCATGGCATTCATTAACCTTACTAGGAAACCCCTTAGCAGACCATAGTGTTGTACAGAAAATTCGCTTGGTAAACCATCTATCCCGGGTGCCTTTCCCTTCCTCATGTCCATAAGGGTTCTCCATATTTCCTCCTCCTCAATGACCCCACCCAGTGCCTCCTGATCACCCCTCCCCAGTTTGCAGGCACATACTCACATACCTGCCCAAGATCCTCGCCATCCACCCCACTACTTTTCCCATACTCCTCAAACCATCTATCTGCATATGCACTCATCCCCATTGTTTCCCGTAATACCTGACCCTCTCTAAAACCCCCCACCAAAGAAATGACTTGCAATCCTGGTATTGTAGTCGTTTGCTGTCGTACCTTCTGTCCTCGCAGCACACAAGCCGATGGCTTGTCGCCCCAGAGTACTTCGTCCAACCCCGCTTGTACTCGTACAGCTGCAAAACACTCTTCTTGCAAATCCCTTATCCTGTCCTTCAACATTTGTATTTCCTCCACGGGGTAACCCCCCCCCCGAGTAACAATCCCATAATCTACATTCTAAATAATTTGACAATCCATACCGCAATTGATTAATGCGTTTGCCCTCCCTCACATAAAATTGATGTATTCTTACCTTAGCCACACTATCCCACCATCCTACCACATCCTCCTCAGTCCTTCCCTCTGCACAGAGCTGTTTCCAAAATACTGCAAAACCTTCCACTCCCTCCCCATCCCCCAAAACCATTGTATTCAGTTTCCAATAGCTTCCCTGCCTACGAGCAAAAGCTTCCGACCCCACCTCCACTATTACCGCCCTATGATCAGAAGACACTATCTCAATAGTTTTAAAAGACTCTACCAGAACCCTCTGAGATAAATATATCCTGTCCAAATGAGCCGCATATCCCCGCCTTATAAAAGTATGTTCCACCACCCACAGATCTCCCTGAAAAGCATCACGTAACTGAAGATCTCTGAACAGGCCCCCTAAGACAGAGGAAAAATATCCCGCTCCTCTGGGTTCCACGTCTGTCCTCTTAACTACACAATTCCAATCCCCCTCTCACAATCGCCACAGACGGTAACATACGTAGGAAGTACACAAGTTCCTCCCGCACAAAATCCGTCTTTACTTTCACTTCACTTTCTGCTGGGGCATACACACACACAAATGCCACTCTCTCACCCATCCACCATCCTTCCACACGTAATACTCTCCCCCACTCCCCTTTTTCCTGTGCAATACAAACGGGCTCACCTCCCTGATCAACACACCCACTCCTTCTTTTAAAATGCTCGGATGGCAACACATAAGCCTGGTACCCAGGCACCACTAATTCACAACCAAGTTTAAAATTGTGTTCCTGCACAAAAGCCACATCAACCTTGTATCTATTCAAAAACATCCGGAAATACTCACGTTTTACACCATCACACAGACCATTAATATTTATTGTTACACACCTGAGGAGGGTTTAAGGTTTCCCTCCCCGCCTCATTTCAAGACTCTTCCCTTTCTGACCATTCTCCTGGGCATTGCCTTTGCCATGTACTCCATCCTCCTTCCCAACCATCCCCCTCCCTTCTGTTGTGGCCCTCTCTTAGAGTCACTCTGGGTACCATAACCGCATGCCTTTTTCCCTGGCCTTTGCACCAGCGTCAGAACATCGTCTGAATCTGACGCCGCTGCCCTTTTCCTCGTTGCTCCCTCCGTCTCCATATCTGTGTCCTGGGAGTCCTCACAATGGACTTCCACCTCTACCACCCTGAAGCCGCCTCCATGTCCTTCCGTGGCACTCGCACTGTCCATCACAGGTGCCACCTGATCCTTTCTCCTCCCACACACACCACCTTCTGCTCCGATCCCAGGTTCCTGCTCGCTGCGACTCTTCACCTCCGTAGACTGTAACATTTCCTGTAACACCGTCGCCAACTCCTCGATAGCTTTCACTTCTACGCCCACTTGCAACCTCCTCTCTCGACAACTGTACTGTCAATGGGCTGGGTGATTCCTGAATCACCACATCCCCTTAAGATTCCACAGGAGCCACCACCTCTTCACTCCTCATGCGACCACACCCTCCCCCTTGCCTCCGTTCTTCCTCAGGCATCGTTTTCTCATGCGTAGGTGCTCTGCCTCGTGCCGGCCCAGGAGCCCAATTCCGCTTGCCACAATCTGTCGCCATATGGTCATACTCGCCACGCAGTCGGCACATACGCCTCTGCCTGGCATACGCCACCATTACCTGGGTTTTAAACTCCTCGAGATATGCATACGAGGGTATAGGATGTCTCACCGTCATCTTGATATTTAAAGTACCCTCAGGAAATCCTGCATAAGCTCCTTTTACCCATTTTCCAGGTTGGGCTAGATGTACATTCCCATATCTTTCGAAAACACTTCTGATATCTGCTTCATCAGCCTCAAAAGGCACGTTGCGGAGCTTAACCCACGAATAATGTCTTGATACATCCGTCAACCTGACCCTTCACTGCCGGTGTTACGTTAATGCTGACATCTTCGTAACGATCCACCACTGCCTCGTACACTTGAGCCGTTAGCACATTCACGAATATTCTATAAACACCATTTAATGCCACTCCATATAAATCCTCGTCTCTGATGCCGTATGTCTCTCTTATAATTTTGGGCAATAACACCTCGACTGACGTAGGCATTAAAGCCCCATTAATGAGTTCAATGCCCTCAGTATTCACTCTCCAGCACACACCTAGCGCCATATTGTTTTCTGAGTAGCTCGTCTGGGTAAACAGTAGAGGGGTGCAAAGCACGACTGCACTCTACCTCATCCAGGCAGCGAATATATACAGGGATAACTAAAAGAAAGTGAGTATACATAGTGGCAGTAGTCGGATGGAGTGTGACATGCAAAGAGTACGTTAAAATTTATTAGGCGTATGCCACACTCCCATGTAGGCTGCCTCCCAACCAGAGAACCGGGTGCTAAGGGTTTAATGACCAACAGGGTACCCATCATTAAATCAGTACCTTGGTACATTGGCCAATCACAGGCAAGCCTGCCAAAGCTGAAGGAACGTGGTTCACTTGTGGTAAACATTGGCAGACTTGCCTAGCTGCTGGTTGAGCATGGTGCATTCTCTCTCTGACTTCTGCTTTGCCATCTGTCACCGGGGTGCACACTTGCTATTCCAATTATATATACATTATATATAATTATATATAATTTGGTGAAGGCAAATGTGTATTATAGATTACTGTTGAGTTTTGTTTGTTCCATTTCCCAATCCAACCAGGTCTCACAGGCCATTCATTACCTGTGTTCGTAATATGGAGTGTCGCATGGGTGGTAGTAGTAGTAGTAGTAGTAGTAGTAGTAATAGTAAATGTGGTGAGACGTGTTGGGTTAGAGAAGAACGTGTTGACATCATGTTAGAGCGGTCTCTAGAATGGGTAATATATTGTTAATTCGCAATTATGAGATAATGTGACTACCGGAGTTTTGATGGATAGTGTTACTGACAGCAATAAGGGCAGCTTCCATTCACTTTCGCCGTTTTAAATCGTTTTCTTTAATCACTAGTCTAGCCTCACTGAATTTAATGAGGTGTTTAACATCGTCCCTATGTTGAACACACGCATTTTTATGGTCATCATTGCTGCAAGTATTCATGTGTTCTCTGATCCTAATGTCCATAGACCTGGCTGTTTCCCCTACATATACTGTGTCACACCCCTACATGGTATAGTGTATATTTCTGCACTTGTGCCAGCGTCATGCTTGGGTTTTTGTACCAGGTTTCTAATCTCTGTCTGTCTGTCTGTCTGTCTGTCTGTCTGTCTCTCTCTCTCTCTCTCTCTCTCTCTCTCTCTCTCTCTCTCTCTCTCTCTCTCTCTCTCTCTCTCTCTCTCTCTCTCTCTCTCTCTCTCTCTCTCTCTCTCTCTCTTTCTCCTCATCTTCCTTCACGTAACCCTTGTTCTCTACCTCTTTCTCTCTCTTCCTTCAGCAAAGACTACAAAAAAGACTGGTCTTAAGAAAAGTTTCTGGAGGAAGTTGGGGCTGTTACTGTGGAAGAACCTCCTGTTGAGGAGGAGACACTGGATCCTCACCGCACTTGAGGTTCTCCTCCCCACCCTGCTCTTCACTCTCCTCCTGACCATCAGGATTCTCCCAAACAGCGTTTTTCTTCCCAAGTACGTCAACGAGGTGAGTACGCGGGACGTTTTCTTAGTACGTCAATAAGGGAAGGTACATATGACACTTCTCGAGTACATCACCAAGGTGAGTGCGTGTGATATTTCCCAAGTACGTCTGATACTTCCCATGTGCGTCAACCAGGTCAGCACGTTCGGCACTTCCCAAGTTCGTCAACGAAGTGAGAACGTATGACACTTCCTAAATACTTCAGCAAGGTGAGTATTTCTGGCATCTCCCGATTACATCAGGTGAGGTGAGTATATCTGTCGCTTCTGAAGAACATTAGTGAGGAGAGAACATTTTAGGACTCCTCAAAAACACTTAGCTACTTGGAGAATGAGACGAATAATGGCAAATTGAGACATATGAATATGAATATGATACATGTGCAACAGTTAGGTGTTTTCACTCCGAAACGGCCTTTTCAGTCGAGTATAGAGATATAAAGACGATATAATCAGTCCATCACCCTTGTAGACTTAGTTTTGACGTGGTCAGTCCCTCAACCTGGAGGAGAGTTTTGCTCCATAGTCTGGAACAATTGAGGCTTATGTACTGTCAAAGGGGAGGCGCATCCCACTAGTAGAAAAAAAATGTAATCACTCTATCCATTCTCACTTTAATGTGTTGTCGAAGGTGTTTTCTGTGCCAAGAAATAAAATTAATGCTTTACGTTTGGTTGCATGTTCGAGAAACATTAATGGTTAAATTTAAAGAGTCGGGACACGATTGCCGAGTACCACATTCAAGAGTTTAAGTTGTTGCATATTGATAGAAGTAACGGAAGGCTGTGGGGTGGTATTATATGTTTGGGATAACTTGAATTGTTGCATCAAAACAGGTGTAAAAATCGGTGGATTAGACACTGTATCTGTGTGGGTGGAATTTCTAGGACGAGAAAAAGATATTTTAGGTGTTATATGCCGATCCCCTAATTATCTTAGATAGCGGCACAGGGTGACTTCTTTGGACTGAAACTCTTAGGGCTTTTAGATACGACAACGTAGTAATAGTAGGGGATTTTAACTTCAGTCAAATAGACTGGACTACTTCGACTGGAAATTTAGAGTTCAGTGACTTTTTGGAAGGAGTTCAGGACTGCTTTTTGAAGAAATTCGTAACAGGTCTAGCAGATGTAATAATCTGCTAGACCTGGTTTTGTCCACTAAGGAAACTCTCGTTAATAATCTTGAGGTTACTGAGGAGCTTGACAGGAGTGATCAAAATCTAACTTTGATGTTACTTGGGAATGCGAGAATAGGGATAATATGTTAAAAGTCCCCGATTTTCGTTCTGCCTATTATAAGGGACTTAGGAAACACTTATCTAGTCTTGACTGGGGATATTTGCCTAATAATTCTATTATAGATGGTGCATATAGTGACGATGGGAACCACGATTATAACTATTTTCTTAATAATGGACAACTTGCTAAATGTATATATATTCCCCAGAGTGAAATAAGGTCAAGTAAAAATGAACCCAAATGGTTGAATAGGAGACTAAAACATTTATTAGGAGAGAAAAGAGGAATTCATAGGCATATAAGAGGAGGAAAGGTTAACCTTATTGACCAATAAGTTATACTCGACTATGAAATTAAAGTAGCTTCAGAATCAAAGTTAAATCCAAAAGTGTTCTTTCAAGTGTATAGGACAAAGGTCAGGGGAATAAATAGGACCACTAAAAATTAAGTCTGGACAGTGTACTAATAGCGAGCAGGAATTGTGCTCTATTTTTAATAGTTATTTCTTGTCGGTTATTACACAAGAGAACATAAATTATATCCCAGCTATGAATATTTATTCAGGCTCTGAAGAAAAAAATTAAGTAATATTTCAGTAACGAGGGATATGATTATCAAACAATTAGACCAACTTAAACAAAATAAGTCCCAGGGCCCTACGAACTGTACTCAAGGGTACTTAAAGTGTACAAGATGGAACTTAATCAGCCGCTAATAAGCCTGTTTAACTCATCAGTCCAAACTGGTGTTGTGCCTGAGATATGGAACCAAAGCACAATCATTGGTGCTTATATACCGGCGATAGGTGAAGGACGAGCGGCAGACGAAGACAAAGTTGCTGGTAGGTGGGAATCCCCAGCTTCCCCCTACCTCCTTATGAATGTTGGAACATACTAATAGATTGTTTTTAATTTTATATTTAAGTGAGTGATCTGAATGGGACTCGTTCATGGCAGTCACCAGTCGCCTAACACGTGTCGGTAGCATTACCCATTACAATACACTTGGCACAAAGCAATAACACAGTACAACTTGCAGGATACACACATTAGCAAGGCTAACACACAATATCAAAAGCGATACAAGAGACAATGTAAATGATACAGAGATCAGCCTCCCAGACAGGCTCCCATATTATGATCACAGGTGTATTTATGGCCTACACACCTTGTTGTAATGTGATAACCAATAGTGAAACAAAGGCAGAGGATATACGACTTGCATTTCCTTCATCAAAGAATCAAGTTGATATTTGCAGTATGTATACTATTTACACTATGTACAATAATTTAAGGGCAAGCATACAACACGGTGGTCAAAAATGCAGAATGCAAACACCAGATATGGAGAACCGTGAGCGACCAGCAGCCTAGATAAGTCTGCCAAAACTCATGTCACAAGTGAACCACTTTGCTTCACAGCTCTACTGAGCTTTCCTGTGATTGGCCAGTACAGTGCTTGGGCCCCTGTTAGATCATTAACTCTTAGTACTGGGTTAACTGGTCAGGAGGCATGCCTATATGGGAGTGTGACATATGTCAAATAAAAATTACATACTAATAGTATGTTTAGCATGGCTCCCAAGTCATTTTCACAGTCTGTGTGATCAAGCTCTGCATCACCTAGTTCATAACTTCAAGGGTTATTTTTATTCCCAAGGACTAAGACTTTACACTTTTTTACACTGAACTGCATCTGCCACTTTTCAGAGCAAGACATTAGTCTATCTAAATCCTCCTGGAGTTCACTAGTATCCTCCTCAAAATCAATCATTCGACATAACTTGTGTCATCAGCAAATTTACTTATGTCACTTGCAATTGCTTCATCAAGGTCATTAATGTAAATTATGAACAACAATAAGCCCAAAACTGATCCTTGTGGAATGCCACTAGTGACTGCTCCCCATTCAGATTTGACCCCATTAATGGAAACTCTGTTCTCTATTATTAAGCCTTCCCTCGACCCATCTTAGAACTTTACCTCGTATACCATGAGCTGCTACTTTTCCTAAGAGTCTTTTGTGAGGTACTTTATCGAAGGTATTACTGAAATCCAATGAATAACGTCATATTCTTTATCGTTATCTACTGCCTCAAATGCTTTATTGAAGAACATCAATAAATATGTCAGGTAGGAACGACATCTCGTAAATCCATACTGAGATTCATTAATCAGCTTCATCCCCCGGGTACCAACATTCTCTCATTCATTCTTTCCACTGCTCCAGGATTACCATCGTGGTGCCTAGAAACCATCATCATTTGCGTTTTTATCCAAGAGTAAATGTGATATGTCATCGTTTTACCCAGACTGTGAAGCTGTAAACTGGTGATTGATGTAACTTAGAGCAGCTGGCATTTCCTCTCTTGGATAAGTAAATGTCAGAGAACAGTCGTCTGCATGCATGGGATCCTGGGATGAGATGAAGAAGGTCACTGAGGCAAACATTCTGAAGCAACGGCTGAAGCGCACTTCCCTGTGGAACACTTGCACCAGTGGCCCGTAGCCTGGTGGTAAAAGCTCTCGCTTCACATGGTGAGTGTCCGGGTTCGATTCCCGCCGAGGGCTGAAGCATTGCGCGTGTTTTATTACGCCGGTTGTTTACATTTCCCTCAGTAAAATGGGTACCTGGGTGTTAATCGACTGGTGTGGGTCACATCCTGGGACAAAACTGACCTAATTTGCCCGAAATGCTTTGCATAACAAGCGGTTTTCTATATAGTAGTATGTCAGCTATGGTCTGTGTATCTTGTACAAGTACTTGTAGAAATAAAGATAATATTATATTATTATAGTATTTTGTTGACTCTGTCTCGTTAAGAACTATTAGAGATCTACCTTGAAGTTAATCACTGAGGAGGTACAATGCAGAGCTGGGGACTCCAAGTGCTTGCAGTTTTGCCAAGAGTTCCTGGTGCCATGCTCAGCTGAAAGCACCAGTAATATGCAGAGTTATTACACAGTTAACCTTGGATTCAGCCAGAGACTGTTGCCGTATATAGTGGAGAGGTTTAACAGCAGATCTGCAGCATAGTTATCTTTTTAGATGCCATACTGAAGGTTACAAATAAACGAGTAATAGTCGAAAAAAGCTGTCATTTACCATGAGTTTATTGTCTCAAGAATCTTGTCAGTGGTTGACAGTAGTGACACTGGTCTGTAGATTTCTCTTCTGCACTTCCTTTTCTGATCAGGAACTACGATTGTCACTTTCCACAGCAATATATCAAGCAAAAAGGTTATACCTCTGGTAGTGACGAATAATACTCTTCAGAGGCGTTCCATAGTTTTATTTGGAGTTCTTATGCAGTATGTCTAGGAGGCCCTGAGGGCCAGGTCCAGCCCGGCGGGAGAGAGAGGAGGCACTTCTTGTCTGTAGGCTGTCTGCTAGGTGAGACTGAGTCAGCATCACATGGACTGAACGTAGGCCTAAGCCTGCAAGATGGCAGCACTAGCATGGTGCACAATGTAAGAATGGCCTGACACGAAACATAAAATCCAACAGGATTTATAACTCTCAGGTATGGTACCCATGGTCGTCCTCACCGTGCCAAGTGGCAGAACAAAACTCTTTCACTTCGAAAAAGCATTTTCACGTTATCTAACGCGTTCGACTGACCCATCTGTAAACATAAGGCAGATATGCAACACTTGAACATCTGCGTTGCTGAAATGCTTAGAAAATAACGCTAGTTAATGTATAGGAAAAATGTCACAAAAAATGAGGATGCAATGGATATACGTTAGTTCCAGCAACAAAGATGCCACAGTGTTGCACTGATGTCATGCTCATTAAATTTTCTGTGATGTATAAAAATAATAATTTGGAATTTCCATTAATTAAACTGATAAACTGACTTCATCACATCCCAATAATGATCCGAAAGGTTTCAGCCGATCAGAAAACGTATTCTCGCATTATCAAATGACAAAGGCGCTCAGACGCACCACCAGGTAAGGCAGAGTGCTATGTTACACTTCTCGCACGCCCAAACAAAACTATATTTGCCAGCCAGTTTGAGAGTCCGGATTAGACACACTTTTGGGAGTTGGACAAAGAGCTTCAAGGAAAGAATTCTATTCGTCAGGGGAAAAGTTAATTTTAATCCTGTGATACCAGTCATATAATGACCCATTCCACGAAGCTTCTGGTCAGTGGTCCAAAATCTTTCCTGATTTACTCGTCCAATCAATTAAAAACTGACATTTATCATTACATACAATTGTAGAGGAGAAAGGCTTGACAAGCAACATTTTTCCTCCATTTAGTGGCTTTAATATAGTATTCCTCCCTCACACTATGCATGAAATACGTGATAATTTTAACATTGTGTATCTTCTCTGAGACACCTCGCTGCCAGGTGTATCTTGCTTTTTTATATTTCTGTTTTCGCGATTAAATATGTTCTGTAAATTTAATTAACCTAGCATAACATAACAACGTAATTCACCCTAAGCTAAAACAAAAATAAAATAATTTTCTAAACTCACTAAACTCAAAAATTGACAATAGTTATTGTACAAAAAAAATACAAAATATGGAGGTTGATTATAAGGTATATTTTCCGTGTTCGTGTTCATACAAACAGTAAATACCCATACATAAAATATCTAAATATTGTTTTAATCTTAATCACAGACGTCGAGGTTCAGTGTGAGCTCAGAGGAGAACCTGAGGAGAATATTGTGTTACAAGTATGGAGTGTGGCTCTCCTTATTAACTTATTGCTACGTGGATACCATCAACTTGCCAGGCCAGAGAAAGCTCTTCTACGGCCCCCCAGGCAACTTCACCCAGGGCGTCGCCAGACACATTGCTGAAGAACTCGGTATGCCTGACGAAGGTAAGTAACGTATCCATGTTTCCTTGCTCGTCTTAATGTATTTTAGCTATTTTTCTGTGTTGAATTTAAACGGATTCTTTGATAATGTTTATTAATTATTGTTTCTTTAAACAAAGCAGTATTGCAGGCTAAGAGCTCTTATCCTACCTTGGTTCATATCAAAGCCCAGACGTATCTAAGGTATATAACCCCCGCCCCAGGATGCCACCCACACCAGTCGGCTAACACCTAGGTACCTTTCTACTGTTAGGTTAAGAGAGGCAGTAAGGGTAAACAAAAACGCCCAATATTTCCACCTGTACTCAGGTTTAATCTAGGGAAGTGCAAGGAATCTCCAATTACTTAAATAGGAACCAAGAGAGACTTCCTTGGGAGGAAATTGGTACGGCTATAATGCACGATAACGTAGTAATTCTAGGGGGACTTTAACTTAACTCAATTTGATTGGAATTCCAAACTGGGAACTTAATGTCCAACAACTTCCTGAAGGTAATTCAGAATTGTTTTTAAAGCGGTTTGTGACAGAATCCAGAAGATAAAATAAACTGCTTGATTTGGTTCTTGCATAAAAGGATACCAGTGTTAATAATCTATAGAGTACAGAGAAACTTCTCGAGCGCGACCACAAATCAAATACGAGGATGGCTGGACAGGCACGAAGGCATTATCATTCTGGGCATATAGAATACGAAGGAAACGGTTCACCATCGGAATTGGATTCACATCAAGAAGGATTATCGAGTGGACGAAGATTGGAAAACAGTTGTATTGTGTTCGAAAATCTGTGTTATTTACGCACAGATTAGCGCATTCCTGGTGATCCTTGGACTGTGTTCAGTGTTTCCCGAACAGTGAGCCACGAGAGGGTGGCTAGGGGCCCCCGACTGGGGCTCTGAGCCTCACAGCTCTGCACCCGGTTGGGCGGCTGTGAGTCACAGGCAGCAGCTCTGCTGCTGGCTCGTCCCCACACCTACAGTCCCATGACAGATCCAGGAGGGGCGGCCTAAACGTTCCTTGGAATGCGGGGACGAGTTGGGGGGACGAAGTGGGGCAGGTGGAGCCCCCACCAAGAAGGCCAAGGGATGCAGTGGAACTACTGTGCCTACCAATCTGCCACTAGGTCCGTCAGCAGCCCCTACCCAAGAAGACTTGCACCCCCAGGTGGCCATAGGGTCGGGGAAAGGGGAACCCAGGAGGAAAGTAGCTCCTCAAGTGGCAAGGATGGAGCCATCCCAGGTCCCTAAAACCAGTTGCGTTGGCCTCCACAGTGGACGGGGACTGGTTGACTCCACGTGGAAGGAGAAGTTCCCGCCAGCTCGGGCACAAGCAACCAGGGCCTTCAACAAATTCAAGGTTCCCAACTACGGGTTTGTAAGGTATCTAGAAGGTCTCCCCCACCTCAAGTTCCGCTGCGAGTTCACTCTCAGGAACGAGGTTCTGGTCTTTTCCTCGGGACGAAGACTCTTACGAGGAGTTGAAGGGGTGGTTGTGACCCATCCCAGCATGGTGGAACTGCTTGCTTCGGAGAAGGTGTACAAGGGGTGCTTTTACACGTCCCTGTCCCCTCCCACTGGCCCCATTTTGGAAGTGCCCAATTTTGTCAAGGCGGAGCGACTCACTGCAACGGTGAACAAGGTGCCCACCCGCCAGGTGCTGACCCAAACCAAAAGGTCCACTTCCCAGCACCTGACCTTGGGGTCTGGGAAGATTCAAGACCCGACCATACCGTCAGGCCCAGTACAATGCTTCAACTGCCAGGGGTTCAATCATATTGCAGCCACCTCCCAGCGAGAGAAAAAGGGTGTGATGTGTGCAGCAAGGCACACGACTCGAAGGACTGCATTGCAATCCTCAAACATCCACCTGGCGAAGCCTTCGGCCAGCGCCCAAGTGTGCCAACTGCTCAAAGAGGCACCATGCCTGGAACCGGAGCTTTTTCCTGTGATGGTGCAGCACTGGCAGCAGGTTCGTCATCGGAACGACCCGACACCCCCGACACCCCCCACCCTTTGGGAACTGCCCAGAAAACAGTCAGCAGGGGGCTCCAATCACGGTTCCCCGGATACCGCAGGAGGGCAATACCAGCGAGTTCCCAGCACTGGGCTCCCAGCGGGGGCTCAGAGGGCAGACACTGGTTTGCAGCACCCGCGGTCAACTGCGGCGTCAGATGGCAAGGTGGCCAAGAAGGCAGAATCATTGGGAAAAACAGCCACAGGCCAGGCACACTCCCAGCAGGTCCCAGCTGGGCACCAACATTCCTTGCCATACGGCCAGCAGGCCTCTTCCCAAGGACAGGCCCTCCTGTGAGCGGCCAGCGACAGGCAGAGGTTCCCCGCCAGGGATTTGGGAAGCCCATGGCCACTCATGCCGGGCCCAGGGTGCACCCAGCTTATGCTGTTTGCAGTGTCGACAGCCACCCAGACATACCCAGTGACCCAGCCCGCCTCGACGGGTCGTCCAGCTAAAATGCCTGCAGAGGTAATGGTCGAATCCTTTTCCGGATCGACTGAAGAAAACCATCGGGGTCATCTCAGCGCTCCTCTGTCGCCTGCTGCCATCGCAGAGGACAGGGGCGGCCTGCAGGCAGCTCCTGTCATGGATGCTGGGCTGGTCCTACTGGACAGAAAGACTCCATGGAACTTCAAGCCATCATCCAGGAGTCCTTCCAGTCTGTGATGGAGGAGGCCCCGGAGTCGCCAACAACGGACGACGATCCCGGGCCCAGAGATGGAATCAGTGGGGCCCCCCTCTGGGGCCCTTGAAGTCCCCCAGTGGAACATTTGTGGGCTGCAGGGGAAAAATTCACTTATGATTGAAGCTGCAGTTCAGGATGAGGTTGATGTCTTCCTGTTTCAGGAGACACTCACCGATTTGTCACGTCAAATGCACCACGTATTCCGGGATTCTCTCCCTACCTTCAACGCCTGGAAGGGACTGGCAGGGGCACGGCGATCTACGTCAGAACCACTATCCCTCATTCAATCTCCACTGACCCCATCGACTGTGGGGAGGGCGTAGAGGTTCAGGCTGTCCCCCTACACCGGGGGATGGCCCCTCTCGTGGTTTACAATATTTACAGAAGCTCTCGGTACACCTTGACATCTCAGAGGGGGAAAGCACTCGCCCACGGGGGGGTCTTGTTGTGGCTGGGGATGTCAATGCCCACCACCCAATGCTTTCTTCTGTCTCTCCTACCAACGCAGCTGGGAGGCACCTTGCGGCTGTGCTGGAGGAGGTCCTGAGATCGCCCTCCTTCAATAATGGTGAGCAACCCATCACTATGGTGGCCGCTTGGATGTCACACTCATCTCTAGGCGGTTGCTCTCGAGCGCGAGATGGGAGGTCCACCCCCATCTCACCAGTGATCACTTTGCAGTGGTCACTACGCTGATGGTCCAGCGGTGCCCGCTCCCCACACCTACCCCAGATGAAATCTAAAAAAGGCCGACTGGCAGTGCTTCCGAGGTCATTGAGCTTTGGTGGGCGGAGTCCCCCTTCCAGAAGACCCAGATGAGGGAGCTCAAAGCCCTTTCAGGTGGCCTTCACAGTGCACTGAGGCAGCAATACCTAAGATTACAGGCGGAGGGTCCTATAAAAGTGACTGGTGGTTTTACAAAGAGGACATCAGGGAACAGAACCACCGCATCAATGTTTTTTAACGCAAGATGCCAGGCGTAATCCCACAGTGAGTCCATGCGTCTGCTCAAAGGGGAAATGGTGCGGCATGCACGCCATGTCTCACACAGGGTCCGGCAGGCTAAATGGTTCGAGTGGTGTGCCTCCTTCAGTACTCCTCCACCCTTATCTGAGATTGGGCCAAGTTACGATTGGCCACTGGGCAGCGTCGCAGTGTGGGCTCGGTTGCACCCAGACCCACAACGGAGGGCAGAGCGTCTGGTGGACCTATTCCCCCTCCAGAGCGGCCATGGCTCAACTGCCTCAGGATCTCCAGGACGTCCAAGGGCCCCCCTCCTTCCTAGAAGGGTGATGGTGATCCAAGCGCATGCCAGGCTGGGGATGTCACGGAAAGAAGACTTCACCCACCAGGAGCTCCTGGCAGCCTTCACATCTCATCGAGACACTGCTCCCGGGGGATGATGGTATCACCTATGGCATGATCACTCGTCTGGCCATTCTGGGCATTCAGCTGTCCTGGGAGTCATCAACCAGACTTGGCGAGCTGGCAAACTCCCTGTCGTATGGAAGGAGGCTGACATCATACCGATTCCTAAGCCTGGGGATCCTGGCAGTGTGAGACCCATCTCCCTCACCATTGCATTTCGAAGGTGTCTGAAAGGATGGTGTTGGAGCGCCCGAGGGGGAAGTTGGCCCCCCTCAAAAAAACACCCCTATGGCTTCACCAGAGGTTGGGGACTTTCGAAAAACCTTACCACTCTACTGACCGGCATTGGGTCGGACGCCCCAAACCCACATTGTTGTCTTTCTTGACCTCGAGAAAGCTTTTGAGCTAGCCAGTGCACCTGCCACCTCTCACTCTTGGCCCACAGGGGGGTTAAAGGGAGGCTGCTTTCATGGCTTTTGTTCCTATCTCCAGGACAGGCCGGGCCCGGGTACGCTTCCAGGGGCATGCCTCTTCTCTCAAGACCCTGGACAATGGCACTCCCAGGGCGGGGTGCTTAGTCCCACCCTGTTCAATGTACTGATGCATCAGCTGGTGTGCCTGCCTTTCTCCAGAGGGACCGTCCTCCTCAGCTATGCCGATGACCTGGCACTTGTCGTACCCTAGGAAGTGCCGGCTTTGCGCGTGCCAGGAGGACCTCGATCTGCTGGCTTCCACCTGCCGTCACTTGGGACTCCAAAAAATCTGCAGCAAAAATCCAAAGCCATGATCCTTCGCACCAAGGTGCCCAGTCAGAGGTGCGGTCCTGGGCATCGACCTGGAGTGGGTTCACAGTTATAGGTACCTTGGCATCTACATTGACAGGCACCCCACCTTCCAGAAACATGTGCACCACATTAAAGAGAGGGCTCTGCAGAGG